CAGCGGGCGTTGTGGCATCGGGCTGGCTTCCGCGCCTGGTCGTGCGCACTCAGGCCGCACTCGGCATTTTGGCAGTGCCGTGGCTCCGGGGGCTCCCGGGGCGCTCTGAAGTGCCGTGCGGGCGGTGGTCGGGAACCGAGCTCTCGGCAAACGGCCGCCGGTTAATGGAGCAGCAGCTGAAGTCAACAAACGTAGCACAACGCTTAAGTCTTTTTGTAAGCCAGGGCCCTTGTTCCTATGGAAGCTCCTGATTGCCTCTCTACTGTAGCCCTGTAGCTAATTGCATACGTTAGGTGTGCTCGTCAGTGAGTAACTGCAAGGCTGGCAGTAATCAGAATACCCGATAAGAGCCGTGGTGGTACACGTTTCGGTGGTCAGCCCCCCTCACTGAAACGTGGGGGCATCTGTGTGCCCCTCACGTGTTTTAGCACCATGCAAGAGCGGTGAGCATGGCATGAGCCAGGCTGCTTGGCATCGTCGTGGTAGAGATGCTGCCTTGCAGTTACTGCAGCCCTCTCTAGAGAGATGACTTTTAGTTCCTCACAACGTCCAAAAAAAAAAAAAAAAATCTCTTGCCCTTATCTGGCTGTATAGTCAATGTCTGCATAGAACCATCCACTTACAAGCATACTTATGCTTAGGTTGTAATCTAAAGTGATCAAGGTCATTTATTTGTTATTGTTTTGTGAATTGAGTGGCTGGATCAGACTAGCACTACTTAAATGTTTCTTCAGGGTACTTCAGAGAGAGATCTGAAAGTGGAAATAGCTTTGCTAAGAAATTATTTATTAACTTTTCAAGATGGTTCTGCTGAAAAAATTTAACTTGGGGCATTGTTTGTAGCATGTTAAGTGCCCTATAAACTAGTAAGTCTCCATTATTAAATTATGTGGTTATAATTTTTAAATGTAGGATTTCAAATTACCTATAAAGCTTACAAATGTGATTTATTTTTTAATACGGTTTTTGAAGTTATTTTTAAGGAAAGCGTTTTGATAAGAAAACTTTAAAAAAAAAAAATAGCGCTGTGGTTGGTCAAGAGCAGCTGGAGAAAGTGATAGTGGGCTGGTAGTACCACGTCTCAACAGCAATAAACAAGAGGCAGTGCTCTTATGTTGCTGAAGTATTTCAAATTTAAGATTTGTGAGTTAGAATAATCACGCAATACAGAGGATTTATTGAGCTTGATTGGATAAGATTAAGGTTTAATTTGGTGTGTAGTCAGGTGATTCTAAATAATGAAAATAAATCCATTGCAGTTGTAAGGTACAGTGTGATCATACAAAAACATATTCAGATCCAGAGTATGAAAAAATATTTCATGTGCGTGAAAGAATTGATTAAACAGTTACAAACAAAATTTCCAAATTTAATTAGCTTGTAAGTAGTTACTATTTTGCCATGTTCTTGTTTTAAGTCATACCTCTTTGCTGTTGCGTATTACAGTATGGATTTTTCATCAGTCTTTGGCTTTTGTCATACTTGAATGTGTGAGAGATTGTGTGTATATATGTATACGAAGAAATGTATATACATATCCTTGTGTAATTTTTACTCTCTTAGAATGGTAGAATGGGTGGCGGTACAACTTTTTCAAAAGCTGAACGCTTGAGGTGTTGAAACCAAGCGCCATGCACCAACTTACAAAAACTAGGCAAATAAACTTGTACTCGTGCAACGGTTTTGACTAAACTCATGTAACATATCACTGTGCGAGCTAAAGCTGGCGAAAAACACTGTCCCTGAAGGACAGCAAACTCTGTAGAAGTGGACATTTGTATGTAACCTGTTATAATCTGTTTTTTCGTATTGTCAACAGAACTGAAGAGGTCCTTGTATGCGTTATTCTCACAGTTTGGTCATGTGGTCGACATTGTGGCTTTAAAGACTATGAAGATGAGAGGACAGGCTTTTGTTATATTTAAAGAACTTGGATCGTCTACCAATGCTTTGAGACAACTACAAGGCTTTCCGTTTTATGGGAAACCAATGGTAAGTTATTTTGTTAGCTTTTTAAAGAAAAAAAAATTGCCATGATGCAATGCAGTGTTTTGGTACTTGTACCTTGTGAATTAACTATCATGTGTACTTGTAATTGTACTGTTATTCAATCACGTCACATCCTGATGAATATATCCATTTATGCAAGCTAGAGGGATGCCGGAGAGACTGGTAGTTAAAACACACACAGAGGTTAAACTTAGCATTTAGGTTTCCTAAGTGATGGCTTTATGTTTTTCTATGCTGGATTAAACTTTTTAAGATCTTAAATACTTCCATTTTACTCATCGTGTTTTCTGTTGAACCGATTAAATTTGTTCTGTAATGGTATTGAAATTAGGTGCTTTCAGTTAATTTATCTGAAGTAACCTTAATTACTATTGTATTTGTAATAAATAGCTAGAATGTGATGCTTCCTTTTTGATATAACAGTGAGTAGGGTGAAGATCTTCTTTTACTTTCCAGAAATCAACAGATGTGACCAGCGATTTATTTCTTAAATCGATGGCTGGTTCTGCTTGTGCATGCATCAGATCACCAAACCAAATAACTGAATTTCAGTATAACTTCAGTGAAGCAAATACACTGCTGGTTGATAGAATGTGATTTAATAATGTACTTGGTAACGTGCAGAATAGCACAACAATTGACACATTGCCTGCTTGGATAATTAGGCATCTCTTAGTTCTGCAGCTATTTGTGAGGCGTAACGATACATGCAAATGGCACACTTGACTTCAGTGATGGATGGATATATTAATACTGGCTTTCAGCTCATGGCTTTGAGCGTTAAGGAGAGCACAGACAGTTGGGTTGCTGAGCCACAAGCTTTTTTTCATTAACACTTTCGGATTCTCTAATGAAATCCTTAACAAGGAATTGTGCGAGCTCAGTTCTGTCGCTTATCCTTAACAAGGAATTGTGCGAGCTCAGTTCTGTCGCTTATCCTTAACAAGGAATTGTGCGAGCTCAGTTCTGTCGCTTACCCTTAAAGAGTTTTGTGCTCAGTAAAACTTCACAGGAAATAAAAAGATTAAGGCTTCATAAGCTTTCTGGTGTATTTCCCTTTTTGAATATTGCCTGCAGCGTGCATACTCTATCTAAACAAAAGCATTAAAAAAAACTTCAACTGCTGTGTAATTTTGTATTGAGGTGGTCTCTGATAGTAAAAGCGATAGGATTGTGTGCATATATAATGTTGCACACCTGTATACTCATAGCTGAATCTGCTTACCCCCGTGACTAGTGCATGGGGCAGCCTTTGTCAGAAAACCAGCACCGTTGTGCTGCTGACACAATCTATGCAATCTGGTTTGGATTAAGGCAGGTACTTGCCTTTCTATTTAAGAAGTCTGAGTTTTGCTAAACTCAATTTTCTGCAGAGATCTGAGAAATCACTGCAAAATTTTTAACTCCCCTTAAAATGGAGTTAAAAAATCCTCTCAGGTTTATTAATAGAAGCTAGTGCCAATTTTGTGAAATGTCCTTATGTTGCTTTGTACATCTGTAACCTTGACAGATGTTAAAAAGATACTGTTAGATGAATAGAGTTCCGGTTTCAGTGAATTAAAATTAGTTTCAATGAGTTAAAATTAGTTAAAACACCATCTTAGGCGTTTTTTAGAGTTCCGTAGTTGTGCTCAGAATTAATTATGAGGATTAGATACTTTGCAAGCATACCTACAGTTTATTACAGTATTTTTAATATAAGAAGTTCCTGCAAAAAATGTGCAAATGCACAGTACAACACAGTTAATGGAAGTGGTGCAAAATGTTCGATATTATCAACTGCAAAATGTACTGATTTTTTTCCTTTTAAAAAGCGTATTCAGTATGCAAAAACAGACTCTGATATCATCTCTAAAATGCGTGGTACTTTTGCCGATAAGGAAAAAAGGAAGGAAAAGAAGAAGGCCAAATCTCTGGAGCAGTCAGCAAATGCAGCAAATAAAAAGGTGATCCAGGTAAGCTGTTTCTCTGTTTAAAAAAGAAAAAACAAACAAACACAAAAGCTATTTTAAATTTTTTCTTTTTTTTTTTTAGGATTAAGTATTGTCTTTTGGTCAATTCCCTAAATTGTGGTCTATTGATATCTAGTACTTTTGAGTACTCACCAGAATTTGAAGGAGAGGGGGCTGATTACATAGTCCTTGCTATTCCGTTCCCCCCCCCCCCCTTTCCTTTTACCAGATGAAAACAAAGATGGAGGGCAAAGGTACAGTAAACCAAAGTAGAAACTAACCTCTTTTTAAAAAAGAAAAAGGAGGGGTATGTTCTTATCTTTAATGCCAGCTTTTCCCTTTGGCGTTTGAATGCCCTATTTGCTCTGTAAGCACTGAAGAATAGTAAATGGGAACAAGATAATTCATTTACAGGTAGATGAAAAGGAGTTCGCTTGGAATATATCTCCACTAAGGATTGACCTGGCCTAAACTAACAACATTTAGTAATTTATGTGCTGAAGTATAGCCGCAAACATCAAGGCAGGGTTTGAATATTGTGTTAATTTAACTACACTTCCCGCTAAGGCACAAATTGGTATCAAGGAGAAATAAAAGTGTTCATAGAAAGCAACATTTTCTAGGTAGAATATTCAGATTTCTCAGGATTTATTAAAAAATCGACCTTTATATACAGATCTCTTAGCAAGAAATAATTGCTGCTAGCTGTAATGGTAATAGCTTTAGTTATCCTTGCTAAACTGGAGTCCTCAGTGGAAACACCTATTTTTCTCCTATTAGGTGTGTCCTGTCTAGGCCTTCATTTTCGAAACTACTTCCTACCCGTCTATTAAACTAAATTTTTTAATGTGGAGAAATAGTGACTTGCAATATCTATTGACTTGGCCATTAGTCATATCAGGTACTACTGATGTTTTTTCTTTGATTGCCTGGTTTTGGAGTTCAGCGGAATTCACGGGCGTTATGTTTCCCTTCAGGAGGTATCTCATAAGCAACAGATGTTCCTTGGATTGTAGCTTAAAAAAGCCTTAACATACTTCTTGAGTTGTACAGAAACATGGTGATGTTTGCTTACATATTTCTAGCAGAACACCTTTGTAAAACTATTTTGTACTTACTTACTAGGGAGCAACACAAAATTCAGCCAACGCCCCGGGGACTGCAGCACAGAATCAGCAGGTAATGCTTTTTTTTTGTGACTAAAAGCACGAATGTTTAAAATTATTCTCTATGAATAATAGTTTGTTACACATGGAAACTTGAGGATATATCGTACAACTTCCTTTTTGTTCTGCGAGACATTTGTCTAACAGCTAAGTCACAGTAAACAAACAACAGAAATCCCACTTTTACTACATCTGGTTAACATGAAATAAAAATCTGCAGTTTCTCATTGTCATACAGAAAACTGCACTATTAAGAAATCCCACTTGATTCTTAAATTTGGACTGTGCTTAGTATCAGTTGAATTCCTAATTTTTTTTTCATTGTTAATAAATTCCCTTTAACTTATTTTGTTCTAGTAGTAGACAAGGAGAAGGAAGACTACACAGGGTCCCAGAATATCTGCCTGAAAGCTTCCTTTCAGAAGTTTGGGGGTAGTCTGCTCACTTTTTCTTTTTTCTCATAAGTGTCTTATTTTCCAAAGGATTGTGTGGAGACGTAGCAGCAACGCCCTACGCTTCACTCATCTTGTCTGCTCAGTGACCTAAATGGTTTATATGTGTTAGAAGCGGAGGTACTAAAGAGCCAGGATTTGCAGGAGGGCAAATACTATGGAAGAATATCTTTGCCTGCCCTGCATTTCTTAAGTACTATCATTGAGAATTGCGTACATAATCCACAGGGGAAAATGTCTTGCTCCCAGTCTGGGTTTTCTTTCAGGTGTCATTTGTAACAAGGCACAATATGTGTATGTCAGTTTGCATTGAAGCACAACAGTTTGAACTTCAGAAGTTTATTTTCTAATGGCACTGCCTGGAATATTTCCATCAGCTGAAGGAGATTGTTCTGCTGAGGCATTAACTTTCTTGGCATCACTATTAGGACGTTTGAAGTTGTGGCGTCCAGTTTCTTTTTATTTTTGTAATCTCCTTGGTGACTTAGGGAGATTGCAGCCTTTCAGTCTAGTGTCAGCAAACTGACTGCTCAGCCTTGTGTCTGGTGAGTTGCCACAAATTCGTATTAGCAGGCAAATCTGTTAAAGACTCTAAAGCTTTAAATCTAGCGGGGTTTCTAATTAATAAATTTATTAGAGCACTGTAGTAAAACCATGTGTTTTTTGTGGGTTTCAGTTGCCCAGATATTCAGTATTTTGGTACTACCGCAGATGAACAGGGTATTTATCTTGGCCTCCCACTGCTCTTCTGGGAGGATGCGAGTCTTTCATAGGTTCTGCCGCTGCCATACAGGTGTCTTGGACGGCGTTACAGCCGGTACTTGGGCACTTGGGTCCCACCCCTGGCTGTGCTGAGAGTACTGCAGTATCAGTCAAGTCTAAATATGACATGTAAGACAATACAGTACTGTGATTTTTGTGGAAATAAGAGCCTCTCCAAATTGATATATCCTTGCAAAAGAACCAAGGGACTCTGTCTGCTTGTTGCATGAAGGTACACTGAAGTCCAGCTAGCAGTGTTATGAGCAAAACTAAGGATATGTGAGTCTTGGGTCAAAAAAATCATGCAGACAGATGCAGAGGAACAGGTAGCTGTGTATAATCTTCTGAGCTTTGATCTTCTGTTGTTGCAGGTGCCTGATAACCCACCAAACTATATCCTTTTCCTTAATAACTTGCCTGAGGAAACAAATGAGATGATGCTGTCCATGTTATTCAATCAGTAAGTTTTGAATAGAAAGGATTTCTCCTTTGAATTCTTCTGTTACCTGTATGCTTTTCGTCAGTTGGCAAGCTGACTTTTTAGAAATCAGAGTTTCTTCTGAAGGTACTTCAGTTCTTTTGTCTTACTGCCAAGATTACAGATGTCAATTCTGATGACTTGGTGCAGAAAGCAAATCCGATTTTTTCGTAGCTGGTTTTGATTGTGTAAGTTATCTACTATCAATCTGCACCAGATTTAAGCTGGTGACTGTAATATTAAAGACTTTACGACAGCAGGAGCAGTGTTAAAACTAGATTTAGTTGCTTCCATATGTGCACAAGACTGATTAAATTGCTTCCACGTAATGATCCTTAATTGAGGCATGGTTCTAAGGACTGGATATGTAAAACCCTTCAATTAAATCTTTCGTTAGTACTAACTATTATACTAATAGATGCTTGTGATAAAGTCTTATGGCTACTGAAGAGAGATGTATTATCAAAGTAGGAAATGCTATCTGACTTTTTCACCTTATTTCAAAGGTTTCCTGGATTCAAAGAAGTACGCTTAGTGCCTGGGCGCCATGACATTGCATTTGTGGAGTTTGAAAATGAGAATCAAGCAGGAGCTGCTCGAGATGCTCTCCAAGGATTCAAGATTACTCCGTCTCATGCCATGAAAATCACTTATGCGAAGAAATAACCGGATGCTCCTGTAAAGGACTTCTGTGGATAGCTGGTTTTTTAATACGATGATACTTTGATCAGCTAGCATGTTTGCTGTTCTCTGCAGAAAACTTAAGACTTGTGTAAAATTGCCACAATGGCCAGGACAGACGTAGGATTTCCACGGTTCTACTGGATAGTAAATTTTTGTGTTGAAATACTAATTTTTTATAAAATAAATTCAGTTTATGCTGTTCTCAAGCCATGTTTTTCGTCGAATCTGTCTTATTATTGATCTGTTAGGCTTGCAGGGCTTATTCAGTATATTGGTTTAACTACTTTTAAGGTGATGCTCATTTCTCAGAAGTGAGTGCTGGAAAAATAGCTGTCTTTCCAGAGCAAAAAGCATGAGCAG